TATAAAAAATTATAGTATTTTTTTTAATATATTATATTGTTAAGATTATTATTAAAACAGTAAGTAATATATTTTTTCAAATTTTCTCACCATGATTTAATATAATCCAATTTTTTTTTAAATACAGATGTATCTGCTACTTTCCTTATTGTGAAATAAAAGCAAAAATACTTGTACCCTGTGATAGCTTTATTTAAATTGATACTTGAACGTGATTGATTGTCGGACTTTCATCTGTGACGCCGTTTTTTTCCATAGTGTGGTATAGTAAAGAACATCGAATTATTTAGTTTACTGTTTTGTTAAACTAAGCTCTTGAAGGCGGCGAAGTTGCATTAAAACATTTTTATTAAAAATCAAATGAAGTACTGAAAAATATAAAGAAGATAAAAGGGAAGTGGATGATTTTAAATATACCTAACACATCATTTAGCATTTACTACCTAGGAATATTTGTTTTATCATCGGTTTTATTTATATCTTATGATTTTAAATGTTGAAAGAAGTATTTTTTTATATGGACGATGAAAGTTTAATGAAAGCTTTCTGATATTTTAACTTCAAAATACTAAAAAAAAATTGCATTGAAAGATAAGATTATTTACTTTAAAGTATTTCAGTATAATTAATTAATTTAGATTTATCGAACTCCTTTCAGTACCACATTTAATTTACCTTCTTAAAAAATACTTAATAAAAGTAGCTGAATAATTGAAGGTTATGAATCAGAAAAAAATTTGAAGCAATATTTCAGTGTAAAACGGACTTAACTTTTATTATTTTTTTATATATTTAGGAAGAGTCATTCTCGTGCGAATAATACACTATATATGATTATGATATACAATGTGAGTCTTAAATAAGTGCAAATATTTTTAAAGGTAGTATATTTCGGCCCCAAAAATACGTCTGAGTTTTTTTCGCGAAAAAAAAATTTGGAGTTTCTTTAATGTTGTGCTAAAAAACAAAATATATTGATAATATGGCAATATAGGTAGTAGATTAAATTTACAAGAAAGAAAACCCATGAAAAATCCAGCGGCTCTCAAAATTTAATCAAAAAGTAAAACAACTTGTTTATTTTGGAATTTGGAAAACGGTAAAGAGAAAATATATTTATTTTATCGCGATTTACCAGCCCTGTCCCTACAGGGTGGTCCGAATTGTATTCGGGAAACTTCAGCAGCATATTTTTCAGATAAAAATAAGTAAAAAAGTTCGTACAAATTATATCCTAAAATGCTTCATTTCGGAGATACAGGATGTAGAAGTTTCATTTTTATTTCGATTTTTTCCAAACAATTTCTGAACTAGCGTCGATTTTTAGATAAAAATTGATGTCTGGATGTTTCTTGACATGAAAAATTTGATTTCAATGGCACATAAATATTTCCAAGTTTATTATTTAGGCTAATAGCTATTTAGTCAAGATGTTATAGAGTATTTCAATTCCAAATATCTTGGAAACCATTACTCGCAGCGATTTTTACTAAGAGACCTTTTTTTACGTAAAAAATAAGTTATTACTCTTCATAACAGTTAAAAAAATCTGAAAGTGACACCCCCTTCAAACAGGAAACATTGATATTAAAATCAAATTTCTCATTGCAAAAAACACCCACACATCAATTTTCATTCAAATATCGAGGTTAGTTCAGAAATTATTTGGAAAAAATCGAAATAAAAGTGAAATTTCAACACCCTGAATCTTCGAAACGAAGCGTTTTAGAGACATTTATACCAACTTTTTTACTTATTTTTATCTGCAGAATACGCTGCCGATGTTTGCCGAATACAATTCGGACCACCCTGTATATCAAGTAGTATGACGAATATGAAGCTTAGGGAATTATAAATTATAACCTGTATAACATTATTTTTAAAAATGTGAATAATGGTAACTGTTTTTATGCAATCGTCATTGCTATATTTTCCTCCTCAAACAAAAATATAGGAAAACTTGTATACAACGTTACGATTCCTTTCAAAATACTCAAAAATGGTTTTGTTATTGTTTAAATGTATTTCGAATATACACAAATTTTTGATTTTATATGAGTCACCTCTTTACCCGGAAACAAACCGCTATTTTTCGCTATCGAAAACAAAATTTTCAAAAAGGTGTAGGAGATGAGAATGATCGAAGATCCGTATAAGATATAGAAATAGTTCTGTACCAATTCACAGCTTGCCGCAGGTTGAGTGAGTCAACGCGCCGCAGTTCATTGTAGCTAAAGCTCCGTATCAGAGCTTTCGAGTCTTGAGTTGTTCTAATGTGTAGTTAAGTATATGTCACAGAAAACATAAAGTGTGAGTGGTAACGAACAAACAATTCAAAAGTTTATTTTAATTCTAAATTAAAACAAATTTACAAAATGTCGCTTTGGATTACTTACGTTAGATCTGGTTGCAAAAAGAGCATTCACAGTAGTTCCAATCATGTCAAGAGGAGACATCGTCTTTCAGTTAGTGTAAGTTTTTTTTATTGTTATTTTTTAAATCTATATAATATATAAAATCCTTAAGTGACTGACATACTGATTAATCACGATCCTGCTCAAACCACTCAACGTAAGAAGCTCAATTTTGGCATACAGGTTGATTCTAGTGTGTAGAGGTTCGATAAGAAGGGATTTTTGGAAATTCCAGTTCCAAGGGGGTGAGGTGAAACCACCCCTCAATTATTACAATATTTTTTTATTTAAAAAACGGTCAAGTTTCCGAATAAAACGCTGATTTTTGGAAAACAGATTGACTTTAGGGTGTAGAGGTTCGATAAGAAGGGATTTTTCGAAACTCGAATTCTAAGGGGGTAAAACTATCCCTCAAATATTGAAATATTTTGTATTTAAAAACCGGTGAGTTTTTCGGCAAAACCTTTAAACACGTATATTTTATTTTGTTGTTTTACATATTTTAAGATTTTTTATAAATTTATACAGGGTGTTTCATAAAATATGACCATTGAGTAATCACGATTCTGCTTAAACTGCTTGACGTTTAAAGCTGATTTTTGGCAAACGGATTGACTGTGGGGTGTAGAGATTCGATAAGGGGGGGTTTCCCGAATCTCAAATTCCAAGAGGGTGAAAACGCCCCTCAAATATTACAATATTTGTTATTTAAAAAACGGTTAGTCTTTCGGGAAAACGCTTGGGCAAGCATAATTTATTTGTTTTTTTTACATATTTAGAAATTTTTTAAAAAATCATACAGGGTGTTCCAAAAAGTTGGGTCATTTCTTAACCACGATTCTGCTTAAACTGCTTGACGTAACAAGCTTATTTTTGGCAAACGGATTTTCGTCAAGTCAAATTCCAACGAGATGAAACTACCCCTCAAATATTACGAAGTTATATAATAATATCGCCATATTAGTATTTCTCATGCTAACATAAATGTGAGAAAATTTTAGGTTAAATTTTATCCAGTTTTTATGTTAATGGAAATTCTTGAACGAAGTCGCTGGTACACGCTAGTGTGTTATAAATGTGTAAAAATATATACATTTGTTAATATTTGGATTGGTGAATTAATAACGGATCTATATCTAATTAATAATATTTTCGAAATATGTTAAATGGATTATTCATTATACTAATTTAATGACATAATAAACATTCACATTAAATAAAATTTAATGGGAAAAAATAATTTAACTGCCAAGAAAAATGGACGTTTCATGTTCTTATATTTTATTTACATATTTGTAACATTTTATGAGCACCCTGTATAATATTTTATAAGTTATAAAAAAATTAAATAGAGTGTACTCACGTAAAAATAAGATTTATTTTTTATATCAACATAGGTCCGATTCTGCTTTGGTTCGTAGCTACAGGGTGTTAAAGTTTTAATATTTTTTAGATTTATTATAATTTTTTTCCAAGTACTTTTAGCGTTTCGAATGAAATTTTCAGGGTAAAAGTTACTATAAGTGCGACATATTTTAAAGCTAAAAAAGTTTCGACATATTCACCAGGGACGTGCATATGGGTTATCACTGGAACATTTTTCTAAAAAAAAAGCATGTACGCCACTGACATTTTTTTCTCTTGTTAGCGAAATAGTGTAAGCAGTTTAATGCCGATTAAATTTTGTTCTTGATATCTTGGCGATTTCGGCCTCATTGAAGAGATAAACGCAATTTTATTAATATGCCTCAACCCAAGTCTAATAGCAACGTTTAAAAATGTTTAATATAATTAACTTGCGAAAGTTTTAAATAAGTACTCATTGATTCCTCAACAAAAAGTATGAAAAAAAGTTCCTCTAAACCTGAGTATGTTTTAAAGTCACAGGATGTTAAAACTCTTTAAAATTAGATTTTTTGTATTTATCTTAAACACTATTATTTTTTTTATATGAAATTGCTGAAGATTGGACTAATAGTAGTAGTAATAATATTTAATAATAAATTAGATAAAATATATAATTTCTTAATTTTGTTTTTAATTTAAATTTATCCATCTCCGTTGGATTGCGGTGATGTTCACAAAAATAACTTTTATTCAAACGTCACAAAAGTATTAATTTTTATTATGTGATTGACAATATAAAAAATTCATTTTAACGCCTAGGCATAAAAGTGAGCAATTTTACGCCTAAGTACAAAAGTACGAAAATATATTATTAAAAGTGTCAAAGTTTAACCATAATTTCTCGATATATCATTAGGTAATTAGAAGGTATTACTTTTAAATCTTTTTATATTACTTGTAAGGTTTGAAATTGTTTAAAAAAATTATTTGTGACGTTTGAAAAAAATAGCATGTTATTCGGAGTAAAAATTACTTTTTGTGCCTCGCCTGTAATGTCAAACGTACAGCCTCGTCACAAAAAGTATACTTTTACATTATTCCTAATAAAACAATATACTATTTATTTAGTAGATTTTGTTCTAGTGGCGAAACCCCAAGAAGTCTTAGACTTCCTAGTCCAAGAAAAGATGCAGTATATAGCTAAACTCTTGAATTATATATTTCGTTTATTTGTTTCAGTCGAATCAAGACGAATCTGAAAGTTCTCCCCGACCATTGTCCGAAGTCAGCGAGATGAGCTTAGAAGTCGGAGGAACACTGAGCAAAAAAAGGAACAGGCCAACTGACAAGCAACGTCCTCTCACCAGGTATCTGCCAATTAGAAGCGCAGACTTGGATCTCAGACATCACATCGAAACTGCAGGTAAATATTATGTTTGAGAAATTATTATATTTAAAATAAAAGGTGATCACTAGGTCTTAGCAAGGAAAAAAAATAAATTCGTTATTAACATTCCCGTTAGAACTGCACAATAAGTTCGTCATAAAATTCAGGCCAAGAATTTAATTCCAATCTATTTCTACTGAGACGTACAACCACTTAGAATACCTATTCACTAAATTCAATGGAGATCATAAAACGAAAATCCTGAAGGAAGGATAATCCTATTATTCAAATATATTTTATTATAAAATCCGTCCAACGAGCCAGGGAAGAATTCGACAGACAACTGTCACTCTCATGTATCCTGTCGTTGTATCTCTCTCTCTCTGTCTTTATTCCTACAAGAGGAATGTAGTGGTTAGGTGATGTGTGAGGTTTGTCTCCATAATTCCCTGTCTTGTGCTTCATGTACAAGCGTGTGCAGTGGCTTGTGGGTGATCTTTGACAGCTGGTCTATCCATCGGGAGGGCGAGCGGCCTGTTGGTCTTTTTCCTGGAACCTTGCCCTCTATAATGAGTTTTTCCATACAGTCAATATCCCTTCTCATAACGTGACCGAAATATTTAAGTATACGTGACTGTATAGATTATTATTGCGTCATGTTTTTTCATTTCTAACTGTCTCATCGTCCAGGACTCGGAGCCATACATTAATACGGAAAATATTAGGCAGTGAACAAGCCTTTTTAAGTGTTAGATATGTTTTTGTCTCGCCATATCTTTGAGAGTTTTCACACTGCCACTCTTGTCATTTCACATCTTCTTCTTATTTCCCCTTCCAAATCCTGTGTTGTTTATAAGTAACCCACGATATAAACAGGGTGAGTCTTAGATAAGTGCAAATATTTTCAGGGCTGATTGATCTCGATAAAAGAAACATTTTCTCTTTACCGTTTTTCAGATAAGTCCAAATAATCGAGTATTTACGTTTGAAAATTTGAACACAATGAATTTGAAAAAAATTGATTTTTTTTTTAAAAAATTTTGAGAGCCACCGGATTTTTTCTGTATTTGCATCCCCTTTAGTGCCGTAACCATAGAGTAAAGCCGTAACTATGGTAATATCAGAGATAAGAAATTATACCGTGGGAAAATTTGCGGTGAACAGGCAATTTTAAAAAATTTTCGAAAAATATACAGGGAAATTTAAAAGAAAGTGCGCGATTTTCAACGTCTTTTTTTTGGCGAAAAAAAAACTCATAGACGTGTTCTTGGGGTCGAAATATACCACCCCTGAAAATATTTGCACTTATTTAAGACTCTCCCTGAGTATATATCAGGTTTGTTGTTGTTTTGCCTGTCGATAATCATAATTTTTGTTTTGGAGGGATTAATTTCAAGTCCAAGTTTCTCGCTTTCGTCTTCAACCAATTTTAGAAGCTGCAGTAATTCTCTTTGTTTCTTTATCGTTGTATAGACTATAGATATTTGGCTAAAAAAATCATATTTTTTTTTTTTTAGTTATAAAATATAAAGAAGATAAAAGGGAAGTGGATGATTTTAAATATACCTAACACATCATTTAGCATTTACTACCTAGGAATATTTGTTTTATCATCGGTTTTATTTATATCTTATGATTTTAAATGTTGAAAGAAGTATTTTTTTATATGGACGATGAAAGTTTAATGAAAGCTTTCTGATATTTTAACTTCAAAATACTAAAAAAAAATGCATTGAAAGATAAGATTATTTACTTTAAAGTATTTCAGTATAATTAATTAATTTAGATTTATCGAACTCCTTTCAGTACCACATTTAATTTGCCTTCTTAAAAAATACTTAATAAAAGTAGCTGAGTAATTGAAGGTTATGAATCAGAAAAAATTTTGAAGCAATATTTCAGTGTAAAACGGACTTAACTTTTATTATTTTTTTATATATTTAGGAAGAGTCATTCTCGTGCGAATAATACACTATATATGATTATGATATACAATGTGAGTCTTAGATAAGTGCAAATATTTTTAAGGGTAGTATATTTCGGCCCCAAAAATACGTCTGAGTTTTTTTCGCAAAAAAAAAATTTGAAAATTGGGAGTTTCTTTAATCTTGTGCTAAAAAACATAATATATTGATAATATGGCAATATAGGTAGTAGATTAAATTTACAAGAAAGAAAACCCATGAAGAATCCAGCGGCTCTCAAAATTTAATCAAAAAATAAAACAACTCGTTTATTTTGGAATTTGGAAAACGGTAAAGAGAAAATATATTTATTTTATCGCGATTTACCAGCCCTGTCCCCACAGGGTCATCCAAATTGTATTCGGGAAACTTCGGCAGCATATTTTTCAGATAAAAATAAGTAAAAAAGTTCGTACAAATTATGTCCTAAAATTCTTCATTTCGGAGATACAGGATGTAGAAGTTTCATTTTTATTTCGATTTTTTCCAAACAATTTCTGAACTAGCGTCGATTTTTAGATAAAAATTGATGTCTGGATGTTTCTTGACATGAAAAATTTGATTTCAATGGCACATAAATATTTCCAAGTTTATTATTTAGGCTAATAGCTATTTAGTTAAAATGTTATAGAATATTTCAATTCCAAATATCTTGAAAACCATTACTCGCAGCGATTTTTACTAAGAGACCTTTTTTACGTAAAAAATATTGGAAATGTATATTTTTTCACTCGGTAGTTTAATACAGGTACGGGTGAAAAGTTATTACTCTTCATAACAGTTAAAAAAATCTGGAGGTGACACCCACTTCAAACAGGAAACATATTGATATTAAAATCAAATTTCTCATTGCAAAAAAACACCCAGACATCAATTTTCATTCATATATCGAGGTTAGTTCAGAAATTATTTGGAAAAAATCGAAATAAAAGTGAAATTTCAACACCCTAAATCTTCGAAACGAAGCGTTTTAGAGACATTTATACCAACTTTTTTACTTATTTTTATCTGCAGAATACGCTGCCGATGTTTGCCGAATACAATTCGGACCACCCTGTATATTAAGTAGTATGACGAATATGAAGCTTAGGGAATTATAAATTATAACCTGTATAACATTATTTTTAAAAATGTGAATAATGGTAACTGTTTTTATGCAATCGTCATTGCTATATTTTCCTCCTCAAACAAAAAATATAGGAAAACTTGTATACAACGTTACGATTCCTTTCAAAATACTCAAAAATGGTTTTGTTATTGTTTAAATGTATTTCGAATATACACAAATTTTTGATTTTATATGAGTCACCTCTTTACCCGGAAACAAACCGCTATTTTTCGCTATCGAAAACAAAATTTTCAAAAAAGGTGTAGGAGATGAGAATGATCGAAGATCCGTATAAGATATAGAAATAGTTCTGTACCAATTCACAGCTTGCCGCAGGTTGAGTGAGTCAACGCGCCGCAGTTCATTGTAGCTAAAGCTCCGTATCAGAGCTTTCGAGTCTTGAGTTGTTCTAATGTGTAGTTAAGTATAAGTCACAGAAAACATAAAGTGTGAGTGGTAACGAACAAACAATTCAAAAGTTTATTTTAATTCTAAATTAAAACAAATTTACAAAATGTCGCTTTGGATTACTTACGTTAGATCTGGTTGCAAAAAGAGCAAATTTACAAAATGTCGCTTTGGATTACTTACGTTAGATCTGGTTGCAAAAAGAGCATTCACAATAGTTCCAATCATGTCAAGAGGAGACATCGTCTTTCAGTTAGTGTAAGTTTTTTTTATTGTTATTTTTTAAATCTATACTAATATATAAAATCCTTAAGTGACTGACATACTGATTAATCACGATCCTGCTCAAACCACTCAACGTAAGAAGCTCAATTTTGGCATACAGGTTGATTCTAGTGTGTTGAGGTTCGATAAGAAGGGATTTTTGGAAATTCCAGTTCCAAGGGGGTGAGGTGAAACCACCCCTCAAATATTACAATATTTTTTATTTAAAAAACGGTCAAGTTTCCGAATAAAACGCTGATTTTTGGAAAACAGATTGACTTTAGGGTGTAGAGGTTCGATAAGAAGGGATTTTTCGAAACTCGAATTCTAAGGGGGTAAAACTATCCCTCAAATATTAAAATATTTTGTATTTAAAAACCGGTGAGTTTTTCGGCAAAACCCTTAAACACGCATATTTTATTTTGTTGTTTTACATATTTTAAGATTTTTTATAAATTTATACAGGGTGTTTCATAAAATATGACCATTGAGTAATCACGATTCTGCTTAAACTGCTTGACGTTTAAAGCTGATTTTTGGCAAACGGATTGACTGTGAGGTGTAGAGGTTCGATAAGGAGGGGTTTCTCGAATCTCAAATTCCAAGAGGGTGAAAACGCCTCTCAAATATTACAATATTTGTTATTTAAAAAACGGTTAGTCTTTCAGGAAAACGCTTGGACAAGCATAATTTATTTGTTTTTTTTACATATTTAGAAATTTTTTAAAAAATCATATAGGGTGTTCCAAAAAGTTGGGTAATTTCTTAACCACGATTCTGCTTAAACTGCTTGACGTAACAAGCTTATTTTTGGCAAACGGATTTTTCGTCAAGTCAAATTCCAACGAGATGAAACTACCCCTCAAATATTACCAAGTTATATAATAATATCGCCATATTAGTATTTCTCATGCTAACATAAATGTGAGAAAATTTTAGGTTAAATTTTATCCAGTTTTTATGTTAATGGAAATTCTTGAACGAAGTCGCTGGTACACGCTGGTGTGTTATAAATGTGTAAAAATATATACATTTGTTAATATTTGGATTGGTGAATTAATAACGGCATCTATATATATAATTAATGATATTTTCGAAATATGTTAAATGGATTATTCATTATACTAATTTAATGACATAATAAACATTCACATTAAATAAAATTTAATGGGAAAAAATAATTTAACTGCCAAGAAAAATGGACGTTTCATATTCTTATATTTTATTTACATATTTGTAACATTTTATGAGCACCCTGTATAATATTTTATAAGTTATAAAAAAATTAAATAGAGTGTACTCACGTAAAAACAAGATTTATTTTTTATATCAACATAGGTCCGATTCTGCTTTGCTTCGTAGCTACAGGGTGTTAAAGTTTTAATATTTTTTAGATTTATTATAATTTTTTTCCAAGTACTTTTAGCGTTTCGAATGAAATTTTCAGGCTAAAAGTTACTATAAGTGCGACATATTTTAAAGCTAAAAAAGTTTCGACATATTCACCAGGGACGTGCATATGGGTTATCACTGGAATATTTTTCTAAAAAAAAGCATGTACGCCACTGACATTTTTTTCTCTTGTTAGCGAAATAAAGCAGTTTAATGCCGATTAAATTTTGTTCTTGATATCTTGTCGATTTCGGCCTCATTGAAGAGATAAACGCAATTTTATTAATATGCCTCAACCCAAGTCTAATAGCAACGTTTAAAAATTTTTAATATAATTAACTTGCGAAAGTTTTAAATAAGTACTCATTCAAGCACTCACCTCAACAAAAAGTATGAAAAAAAGTTCCTATAAACCTGAGTATGTTTTAAAGTCACAGGATGTTAAAACTCTTTAAAATTAGATTTTTTGTATTTATCTTAAACACTATTATTTTTTTTTATATGAAATTGCTGAAGGTTGGACTAATAGTAGTAGTAATAATATTTAATAATAAATTAGATAAAATATATAATTTTTTAATTTTGTTTTTAATTTAAATTTATCCATCTCCGTTGGATTGCGGTGATGTTCACAAAAATAACTTTTATTCAAACGTCACAAAAGTATTAATTTTTATTATGTGATTGACAATATAAAAAATTCATTTTAACGCCTAGGCATAAAAGTGAGCAATTTTACGCCTAAGTACAGAAGTACGAAAATATATTATTAAAAGTGTCAAAGTTTAACCATAATTTCTCGATATATCATTAGGTAATTAGAAGGTATTACTTTTAAATCTTTTTATATTACTTGTAAGGTTTGAAATTGTTTAAAAAAATTATTTGTGACGTTTGAAAAAAATAGCATGTTCCATTCGGAGTAAAAATTACTTTTTGTGCCTCGCCTGTAATGTCAAACGTACAGCCTCGTCACAAAAAGTATACTTTTACATTATTCCTAATAAAACAATATACTATTTATTTAGTAGATTTTGTTCTAGTGGCGAAACCCCCAGAAGTCTTAGACTTCCTAGTCCAAGAAAAGATCCAGTATATAGCTAAACTCTTGAATTATATATTTCGTTTATTTGTTTCAGTCGAATCAAGACGAATCTGAAAGTTCTCCCCGACCATTGTCCGAAGTCAGCGAGATGAGCTTAGAAGTCGGAGGAACACTGAGCAAAAAAAGGAACAGGCCAACTGACAAACAACGTCCTCTCACCAGGTATCTGCCAATTAGAAGCGCAGACTTGGATCTCAGACATCACATCGAAACTGCAGGTAAATATTATGTTTGAGAAATTATTATATTTAACATAAAAGGTGATCACTAGGTCTTAGCAAGGAAAAAAATAAATTCATTATTAACATTCCCGTTAGAACTGCACAATAAGTTCGTCATAAAATTCAGGCCAAGAATTTAATTCCAATCTATTTCTACTGAGACGTACAACCACTTAGAATACCTATTCACTAAATTCAATGGAGATCATGAAACGAAAATCCTGAAGGAAGGATAATCCTATTATTCAAATATATTTTATTGTAAAATGCGTCCAACGAGCCAGGGAAGAATTCGACAGACAACTGTCACTCTCATGTATCCTGTCGTTGTATCTCTCTCTCTCTCTCTCTGTCTTTATTCCTACAAGAGGATTGTAGTGGTTAGGTGATGTGTGAGGTTTGTCTCCATAATTCCCTGTCTTGTGCTTCATGTACAAGCGTGTGCAGTGGCTTGTGGGTGATCTTTGACAGCTGGTCTATCCATCGGGAGGGCGAGCGGCCTCTTGGTCTTTTTCCTGGAACCTTGCCCTCTATAATGAGTTTTTCCATACAGTCAGTATATCTTCTCATAACGTGACCGAAATATTTAAGTATACGTGACTGTATAGATTATTATTGCGTCATGTTTTTTCATTTCTGACTGTCTCATCGTCCAACACTCGGAGCCATACATTAATATGGAAAATATTAGGCAGTGAACAAGCCTTTTTAAGTGTTTAGATATGTTTTTGTCTCGCCATATCTTTGAGAGTTTTCACACTGCCGCTCTTGTCATTTCACATCTTCTTCTTATTTCCCCTTACAACGATCCTGTGTTGTTTATAAGTAACCCACGATATATACAGGGTGAGTCTTAAATAAGTGCAAATATTTTCAGGGCTGATTGATCTCGATAAAAGAAACATATTTTCTCTTTACCATTTTTCAGATAAGTCCAAATAATCCAGTTATTTACGTTTGAAAATTTGAACACAATGAATTTGAAAAAAAATGATTTTTTTTTGAAAAAATTTTGAGAGCCACCGGATTTTTTCTGTATTTGCATCCCCTTTAGTGCCGTAACCATAGAGTAAAGCCGTAACTATGGTAATATCAGAGATAAAAAATTATACCGTGGGTATAATTTGCGGTGAACAGGCAGTTCTAAAAAGTTTTCGAAAAATATCCAGGGAAATTTAAAAGAAAGTGCGCGATTTTCAACGTCTTTTTTTTGCGAAAAAAACCCTCATAGACGTGTTCTTGGGGTCGAAATATACCACCCCTGAAAATATTTGCACTTATTTAAGACTCACCCTGAATATATATCAGGTTTGTTGTTGTTTTGCCTGTCGATAATCATAATTTTTGTTTTGGAGGGATTAATTTCAAGTCCAAGTTTCTCGCTTTCGTCTTCAACCAATTTTAGAAGCTGCAGTAATTCTCTTTGTTTCTTTATCGTTGTATAGACTATAGATAATATTTTATCGCTGGAACAAGTATAATTATTATAGTAAATTAATTCTTTTTCAGGACATCAAGTAGTACTGTGTCCACATGTCAACATTAATTCCTATAGTTGTCGTGGTTTTCTTCACAAAAGAGGATCTAAACTGAACGGATGGTCTCGAAGATGGTTTGTCTTTGATCGGAATAAGCATACTTTTACATATTATGCAGATAAAACGGAGAAAAAGCCTAGAGGAGGTGCATATTTTCAGGTAATTACTCTACTTTTTAATCTACAATATTATATGTTATACCAGACGATCGAAAAAAAACCGGGGTCAAAGAGGACTGGGGAATAGCACAGTCGATGATAATTTTGGCGAAGTCAAGCCCTAGACGTCATTTACTTGGCCCGTGACCTTCTTTATTTTTTAATGGCGCCTACTGCCAGTTAGACTTAAAAGGGTTGTAATTATTTTTATATTAGATGGTGTAGTTTACAATTCGAGAAAAAATATTTTTTGGAAATAGATTTGTATGTCTGGATTCTATCTATCCCCTTAATCTTTCTATAATTAGTGTTAATTTTTGACAATTTTTAGTAAATGACGTCTAGAAAATGAGCTCACCAAAACTATTATCGATTGTCATTCCCCAACCGTTTTTAGCGCTGTTTTTTTATCTTTATCTTATTTTATGGTACTTCTTTGGTCCATTTTTACTACAGACTTAACTATACAATAAAAAGTTGGTATATATAATCCAATTGTTATTCAATAACACAGCACAAAACAGAAAAAAAATCTTCTCTTGAATATAAGTCAAATCATTTTTACTATTTTAGGCTATTGAAGAAGTGTATCTGGACCATTTAAACAACGTCAAGTCTCCAAACCCACAATTAACATTTATTGTAAAGACCCACGAAAGGCTGTACTATCTCATGGCACCATCGCCAGAAGCTATGAGAATTTGGGTGGATGTCATTTTCACCGGCGCCGAAGGTTACAGGGAATTTGAACACGGTACCTGACTTCAGAGATTTCAAGGAGGTATAATTTACCTCATAATTGGTTTCAAAAAACGTTGTTCTTGAGGCAACATTTTTTTTATTTGGACTATTTATACAAATCAGAACAAGATCTATTTTTATATTTGAAATGGACCTATTTTTCGACTTTTGCTGTATATATCTACTTTTAACTGAACATAGTTATTTTAACTTATGTGATACTGTATGTTATCGAAAATTTAGTTGTCTAGGATTCATTTTATGCACTCATATTTACCAGTCGACGAATTTTATGAAACTTATTTAGCTCACAATAAATGTAAGTATTTTTATGAAATGCACCTGGTAATCAAATCATTCTTTTATTTAAAATATAAATTAAGTATTTATGTTTTTTATTTGTGGGCATGTAATTAAGGTTAAATTAAATTGGTGCCTTTATATAGAGACTGGATTTTTTAAATCTGTATTATGACGTAGATAGTTAAAATAACACAAAAATTGTGATTATATCACAAGAATATTTTATATCATAAATGTGTGTTGAAATAAAACCAGTATTTATATTAGCAAAGTTTTATACATTTTTTTCCTTACTATGATATAAACTCTAAGTAGCTTAAACATAACACAAAATTTAGCTATAATATTAAAACAAAATATTGCACTTAAAAATTACTGATTCCTCAACAAGAACTTAGCAACTACTTTAACAAGTATTCTGTGTGTTTAAGTTATTGATTCTGAGGTGGATTTTTATTAGGTTCTGGTAATTCTTGTGTTCTTACTGGTAATTCTTGTGTGCTCTGTGCATACTGAGATGGATCTTCATAATATTGACTGGAGCTTTGACCCTCCACTGTCCCTGCATATTGATTCCCGTCAGCATACACCTGATTAGGGTCATAGTGTTGACTAGAATCATATTGCTGGTTAGGGTCATACATTTGATTATATTGTTGATTTGGATCGTAGTGCACATTAGGGTCATATTGATACTGCCCCTGGTCAGTGCCGTATTGCTGGTCGGCACCATAATCTTGTGCGGAATATTGTACATTAGGGTCATTCATATATTGATCTTGAGCATACTGTTGATCAGTTTGGTGTTGACCACCAGGATATTCATATCCTTCGGAGTATTGTTGTCCGCTAAGGTCGGCTGTAGGTTGCTGTAGGCCAGAACTGTCGTGGCCGAATTGCTGATTGTCGTCAACGGTCTGTTGGCTAAACTTGCGTTCTTGTTGGGGAGTGGGAGAAGTCCGAGTCGCCGCAATGGGTAGCTTCTCTTGGCTGGGATGTCGTGACGATGCTCGACTTGGGTGCTTCAAAGACGACCGACTTTCCGAGCGGACGATGCCTTGTGCTTCAGGACGTGGTGAGGTAGAGGGGGTTTGCAATGAGGGTGAGTTTCGTTGATTGCCGATTGCAGGAAGGTTTTCATCTATCGAAATATAAATCATTAAAATGGGGAATATTCATAATGTGATCTAATTCAAAAAGTATGGTCAAAATGAATTATAACTTTTAAAGCGAACTAACTAGAATAGCGTGGAACGTACAAAACTACTAGCATATCATATACGTAAAATTATTTTCTTATATGGTTTCAGTTTGGAAGTTATTTCTCTCAAACTTGAAATTGATTTTTTTTTTAATTAATTATGCAATTCTTTAATATAAATAAAATAAGAATTTTTCGTAGAAAAATTTAGAACCTTATCATTTTCTCCTACTGTTATGCTACAGAAAATGTTAAAAATCTATACTTAAGCCTGGTTGAAACGGTCAAAGTGTACTTGGACCAAGTCAACCAGATGCTGCTATAGATGTTGCACGCATCTCACTTTCACACTGTTTGTATGGTATCTACTGTTTTATCAAAATCGAATTGAAAAGCCTCATACATAGAATCCAAGTAAGTAGGCAGCTAGCCTACTTACTTTGATGTTAAAAAGTGTTCCCACTCGACTTTAATAAAACAGTCAATACTATACAAGCAGCGTACATGTGAGACTCGCGCAGCATTATTATCAGTACAGTTATAAGGCAGCATCCAAGTGTACTTGGTCAAAGTATACTTTGACCGTGTCATCCCGCCTTTAATGAAGGTCTAGAACAGCGCTACTTTACTCTAATGATGTTTTAATGTTTTACACTTCGAATGAACTATTCGGTTATAGTACCTTTTAAATTTGGAGAAGCATATTGTGTCTGACTAAATCTATTGCTTAATTGATCTAGGCTAGTTTGTAGTTCCCGTATTTCCTCCCTATAAACAACAAAACACAACACGTTAAGCACATATAGATTGTTTGCACTCACTAAGAGCTAAGATAACAATTAATTGATGACCATAAGTAAGAAACATATAAGTGCAAAAAATAACAAAACTGAAGGGGTACATACCAGATGTGCTAATTTTATTTATCGATGTAACGACAAGTTTAGGTGTAGCACTAGCCCAGTTGATATATTATCCGTAAGTGTGGTTAGCATATTTTTAATTTAAAAACATAATTTTGCTTTTTTTGCCACTTAGCTTGTTTCTTACTTGTGGTATTCAATTATGTATTTGACACGTATTGCATATAAACATTTGGGGGGTACAATGGTATTATCAGTATTATCAAAAGGTTAATCTGAGCCATCCGTGATGCAAACGTTAACATATACCTTTTTATTATTGTCGGCATCCCCATTTTGTTCCTTTAAATAAGTCCAAATGCTTTCTAATCTAGACATAAGCTCGACATTTTTAGTCCTTAGCTTTGCCCTTTCAATTCTGAAGAGTAGCAATAGAAAATTTTTCATTACGACAGTGTAATACGAATTTTTAACATTAAAGATATTTTCCCAATATATAATTAAACTCTATCCTTTTAATGTTTTGTTGTACCTAAACAAATTATTTCCAAAAAGTATATCATAACTAATTCAATTATGTAAATGTAGACATCAAGTTTTTATCTCTCCAAAAAAATCCTTTATGGGTATTTCGCCACTGCACTGCAAGAAAATCTACAAAATAAAATAGTTATTTTTTTTGTAGACACTTCTGCGTTAAACCTAAACGGTCACTGCTACAAATTTTTATAACTAAACATAACTTCTAACAAGCAGTGTCCGTTTAGGTTTAACGCAGAAGTGTTTACAAAAAAATAACTATTTTATTTTGTAGATTTTCTTGCAGTGCAGTGGCGAAATACCCATAAAGGATTTTTTTGCAGAGATGAATCCGCCACATAGCTATAGACATTTTTTATCAAGTTTTTAATCATGTCAAAACAAGTTAATCTGAATAAAGTGAACTACAAATAAATACCTAGTGATATGCTGTGCGAATATGAAATATTCATTATAAAATTTAATAAAAAAAAGCATTTTCTGTATCTTTCAGCTTAAAGCAGCTGAAAGATACAGAAAAGAGAAATATCTTAATTTTTATATTCCGATTAAATATACTATGGGAATGAAAAACACAATTTTTCTTTAGAGGATGTAAATATATCAGTTATATTGGTACGTGTATCGCTTAAATTCTTGATACTGACTGACAGTGCAATTATTGTAAAAAAACTGGAAAACTGCAATATATAAAATATAATTAATTCCCAAAAAAAATACAGGTATTACAGGGATTAAAGTAATTGTAGTTTAACTCGTATCAGCATCTTTAAATAAGTGGCATTATTCTGTCATAAGTGGGTCGCGATAACCCTAAATTGACATGTGTAACATCCATTCACCATAATATGTCTATATACAAGAAAACTTTAGAAAAATATTTTAGTACTACAATTTCCTTCGTTTCATAAGTTATGGAAATAGTTTATTTCCGAAAGAAAAAAAACAAACGAAAAATATAATAGTAAATCCAGTTCATACACTTGCGAATTATGAAGTGTCTTCTGATTGACTTTTTTATTTCAGAGCCTTTCCAACTTTCTGCGATTCATATTATATGAAAAATTAACGGGGCGGGAAATATTGAAATCGTTTTAATATTGGACGAAATTCGAAAGGAACGGGTTTCAGACGTGTACTTAACTTATCAAAGTCCTCAACCACAGACGTATATAAAATACAGTGGATCGTCCCTCTAATTTTTTCACTTTTTCGGATAAAAAATCGAGATTTGGTATGTTAGTGTATGACGTAAATGAGGATTGATGGACGTGTTCAGTTAGTTTCGTTCACTTCCTGTTTCACCGGAAATGATTCCAACTTTTGATTTCAAAAAAAAATAAATAAATTAATTCTCCATAGAAGGACATATCATATTTGCCAACTTTTGCTATTTGCGCTTAAAAAATTATATTTCGAATTTCAGTCTAAAGTGCAACGGCCATAAATGTAATGACAATAATTTAACTCGAAATACCAAATATGTGGTACCAAATTATTCGTAAAAAATGTTATTTCCAAATATGCTAATGAGCCGCCGTCGTTTCATATGAAAAATTAAGTTATGATTAAAAATACGATTTTTGCATCTTTTAACTGACCAGGAAAAGACACGAATAACGTTAGACGATCAAAAGTATTTTTAAAAAAGCTCCTTGTTTAAAAATTAATGGTTTCAACACAGCCATGGCACTCTACTGATCGATTAAAATTTAAAATGTTATTTTTTAATTGAAAATGTCAAAAGTTGACATGTGATATGTCTTTCTATTCAGAATGTCATTTACTATCAAATAACCATTTCTTTTCTATCTAATATTGAGCGTACCATTTAAAAATCAAAAGTTGTAGATATTTCCGGTGAAACAGGAAATGAACGAAACTTATTGAATACGTCAATCAGTCCAGATTTATGTCATATACTAACATACCAAATTTCGCATGCGTATTACAGTTCTAGAACGGTTCAGAATCTGTAATAAAAAAAACAAGTAAGCTAATAAAGGACAAAAACAAAATGGTGGGAAATCTATTGGCGTTAGCGGTCCATTTTTAATCCGTTAATCCATATGTAACCGTGTCCTCAATACTAATTATGTAGTCATTATAAAATTTCTTTTCGTCTTTTATGCACGTTTCTGGGATTAAATTCTGATATATACCTTGCTTGTTTCCTTATCTTAAAAATATTACGTGGAGTGCCAATGGACCTATTTTTCTTCCTCCTCAATTTCTTCAACAACAAATACGCAGCAATGGCTCGCCTTCTTCGCCAGTGAAAAAGATCATTATTATAGTTATTCATCGAAAAAAACACAAACAAAAAACTTGAGAAAACCCAGTACAACAAAAACCATCGATGACTTATTAAACCCACAGAATAAACTTAAACCACAAAACAGACCATCTTAAACACAAAATTTTTAGGTTATGTTATATTGCCAACTAAACAAATTGAAACAAAGTGTCAAAAAGGGCTGCCAATTTCCTCATAGCCTTCAAAATGTTCCTAGAAAACTCGGAGGCGTGTGAAAAGGTATTCAGAATCGCAATTCGTATTTCGCATTTGCATGAACTGGGCTTTAAATTTTTAAGGGAGAAATAACTTTATCTACACATCATTTTTAATTTTTTGCATTGTATGATATTACAGATTATCAAATGTTAAAATGAATTTATTTGACTGACCTTCCTGGATTTCGGAATCACTTTAACGTTAATATCAATCTTAAATGGTTCCTTGCGTTTGGTTGGTTGGACACTCAGCGAATCTGACACGTTTTCGCAGTCTGGCTGAAGGTCCGTCCCTACCAAACACAAGCCTTTTATTAGACGTAAATACAGGGTGTTTTTCAAAAGTGGCTCACCCTTATAACTTTTTTATGTTTTCAGATTAAAAAAAATTGGTATGCTAGCATATGACATAAATCAGGACTGATTGAAGGATTCACTTTGTTTCGTTCATTTCCTGTTTCACCGGAAATGACTACAACTTTCGATTTTTAAATGGTACCGCTGAGGCCCGATTCTATAAACATATTTCCTGTCTAGTGACTCATCAATCCTAAACAAATAAAACCTAGACAGGAAATTTCTTGCTACAGAGCTTACAGAATCCCACTGCAGGTATTTTTTACTTCTTTATTTGATGGAAAATGATATTGCGAGTCGAGTAGAGTGACATATTATATGTCAACTTTTGACATTTTTACTTAAAAAAATAATATTTTAAATTTCAATCTAGAGTGCCAAGACCATAAATGTAACGACAGTTTGACTCGAAATACCAAGTACGTATGTGTTACTAAAGTATTCATAAGAAAATACTTTTTCAAAATATGCTAATGAACCACCCTCGTTCCATTTAAAAAAATTGAGTTATGATTTAAAATACGATTTGGGCATATTTTAACTGGTCAGGAAAAAAACACTAAAAACATTAGGCGATTAAATATATTTTTTCAAAGCTACTTGATTAAACATCAATGGTTTTAATACAGCCATGGCAATGTAATTTCTTTTTCTAAGCGAAAATGTCAAAAGATTTCTCTTAGACAAAATAAAAAATACCGAGGGTACCATTTAAAAATCAAAAGTTGTAATAATTTCCGGTAAAACGGGATGTGACCGAAACTAATTGAATACGTAAATCAATGCTGATTTATTTCATATGAAATAAATTCTAACATACCAAATTTCGCTTTTTATCTGAAAAAATAAAAAAGTTATAGGGGGTGAGGCACTTTGGAAAACACCCGGTATAATCCAAGAACAGAGTGCATATATCATAGGATATTAGTGCTTTTATATAAAAAATAGTTCGTATCGTTATTTTAAATATTCATTACTCGTTAATGGAAGATACCTGAATTAGATGAACTGAAATTGATTTATAACTCTGATTACTATATTGAATATTGAACTAGTCTATACAATAAAAAGACTATGGAAGTCAAATATGGTCTATCTAACGAAAGGATACATGACAGTGACAGTCGCGGTAGTTGAGTGTATCATTTTAGTTCACAGGTAATTGTATTGCACAAGTAAGAATTATACATGTTAGTAATCAATTTATAAATTCGTTTAAAGTTATAACTATATTTTATTCTGTAATTGCATGTATTACTACTTTTCAATAATAATTAAGACAAGTCGATTTTTAAGCGTCTTCAAATTTTTGTGTTATTAAATAATTACATAAATTTATTTTACATAGTTTTTACAAAATATTTTACTTGGTATATTAGTGAGTAACTGTTTAAAAAAATAAAAGGCATAAAAAAGCAATTGCACTAAAATCTAGGTTATGCTTTTCAATTTAAACAAATTCGGTAAATTCAAGGACCCTACCATTATCGCACCGATATTACATAGATCAACATAGAGCAACAAAACCATAGTAGTCAAAGTTATAAAATATACAATTTAATAGGTAGTAACGATCATAATAGAGATATTTTGTGTTCTAGCTACACCTTACAATATCCGGAGGTACCGACTCTTATAAAAGAGTTGGTACCTGTAAATATTCTGTACTGCGAAGCTATCTTTCTGATCTTTTTATAATATCTCTATTATAGTAATAAAACAAACGCCTATGATGATTATTTTAAAAAAATAAAAAAGGGAATGTGTATTAACAAAACATGATAGAAACATTAAATATAGGAGTCTTACTTATGCCTGTGGCTGGCATCTTCGAGTTTCCGTGTGAGGGCGTGGCATTCGGATGACAGTTTGTCCATGAGTTGATTTTGGGAGTGGATCATGGTCTCTAGCTCGGCTACTGTAGCCGCTGGAACAACCAATAATGATTTTAATAGTTTAAAGATATTCAAAAACGAAATTATATTAATCTAATATAATCGTTTATTCTCCCAAATCAACTCATGTCAAAAAGTATGACTGAATTTGCCAAGGAAGATAACTGGGACGGGAAATGCATATGGGTGATTGTGTTCAAATTTTTACTGATTAGGTATTTTTCCAATTTTATTTCAATTTTATAACAAAATTTTATGTTTTTTACATATTAGAATTCTAATTGATTATTTTTGTAACAATGGGGTTTTATAAAAAAATACACTATTTTCAAAATAGAAACTTCAAAAAAGAAATTTTCTTTTTTGAAGAAATGAATCCGCCACAAAGGTTTAGACATTATTTACAATAGTATGTAATGGAAGTAATAAAATGGTATGTAATGTTGTATAGGAGAAGTTTATGTCAAAAATTTAAGGTATTTTAAGTTGCAACAAATATTTTAAATTTTAATAAAAGGCAATAATGCTTAAATGACAATATTCAAAATTCTATAATATTATTTAAAAGTTTCAAAATTCTGTAGTCTTATATATATCAAAATAAAAGTTACAGGGTGAGACAAAATAAATATTGAACACTAATCACTTTTGGGGGCAAATTGCTATTTTATTATAAACGGTACACCTAGCACAATATTTTGGTATTTGATACAGTAATCATGTCTGTTCAGATTACTATTAATTATTAATGCAATAATTCATTGCCAACCTTTGAGACTTCAAAAACCAAAGCCGATTACTGCTCTTAACGTAGTAGATAATAATTAAGTTAGCTTCGTATACCTATTAAATTTCTTAATTTCTGTTAAATTAATGTCAGAAATAAATACCACCTTGGCGTTTTCAACATCTAATCACACTAAATTATGGTGAAATAACTAGAAGTGTCTGCCTGATTAATAGTATTTTAAACAGGATTTATGCATCGAATAACAAAATAATATACTGCGTGTTCCATTGAAATAAGAAAGTAACTTGCATCAAAATGTGACCAATGTTCAAAAAATCTTTTGACATATATTTCTTTAAGAAAACTGACTTTAAGTTTCTTCCTAAAATTTAAAAAAACAAATAATACCTAGGGCTTCAAATCAAATAAATACTATTACTATTTTGATATATAACTTTTTGAGACACACTATGGAGTTCCTAATAATTTTACAATGTGATCCAAATAAATCTAAACAGACTCCGAGAAAACCATTCTAATAAAAATTATCGTTTTCCATAGATAGTGCGTGTTGTATGAGAGAGAGCCTTTTTATTATATACCGATATAAGTGCGACATTTTGAAAACATGCCTCGCGCAGCATAATGTACGACATGTGTACGACAAGTGAGACAATTAGCACATCATATACAAAAATCACAGTTCGAAAGATATCACCCATATGAACACTTACCGTGTTTATTCTCCATATCTTGTATCATGGATGTAAGTTCCTTCTCACGGTCCTCCTTTTTCGGAGTGGGTGGAGGTAGGGCCATAATATTGCCTGATCTTGGAGTCACAGATTTCGAACGCTCCTCGTTTAAAGCAGTATTCAAATTAATCTGCAAATGATATATTACAGTGAACAAATTAGCTGAGCGTACATTACAAGCTTCTAGAGAACTACAATTGTTCTTTATGATTTAGATTTATAAGTGTTACATATTATGAATTTTTCATTTCCGAAAATACTAAAATTTAGAAAGAAAAGTAAAGGTTATATTTAATATCCTTTACCTAAATTTACTAATAGATACCTCTATTTTTCGTCTGGCCTTAAATTGAGTCAACACTTTGATGAGGTAGACCCTTTGATTAGAAAGACTAAGGAAGAAGTATAAAAACACAAATATCAACAAGTTTGACGATAAGACTGCGAAGGGATTTCAATATTGCTGACTGAGAGATAGCAAGGAGCAAATTATTTTTATTAATGAAACAAAAAAAGTACTCTACTTAATAGTTTGCTAAATTCAGTATTTGTACAAATCACTATGTCATTTACGTAATATATTTTTATGGAGCAATACGACTTTTTTGCACCAGAAATAATAATACCTGGTGTTTTTCAAAAGTGGCCCACCGCTATAACTTTTATTTTTTCAAAACAGGATTGATTGATTTATTCACTAATTAGTTTCGCTCACTTTCCGTTTCACCGGAAATTCGTACAACTTTTTTTTTTATTTATAAACCGTTTATTAATTAAAACATACAGGGTCCGGCAATAGTGCGTCGGGCATCTGTAGCTCCTAGAATAAAAAAACTTGAGAATTTTGTTTTAGTGCAAACCTAAAGTATGTACCAGGATGTATTTCAGGAAAATATTGTAACTTCTATAGGGTGGCTCAAAAAAGTGTGAGTGGACCTGAATGAATTTTTTTAACTGGAACACCCTGTATATTATTGCATTTTTGGCTTCCTTTCGGATCACTTTACATGACCCTATGATATGAATAAATATATTTCGATTAGTTTCAGAGATATTAAAAAATAAATCAAAAATATATATTTTTCAGCCCTTCTTAAAAAAATTATTAAAAATACAAGAACTGTTCTGAAATCAAAACTATGTTAGGTATTTACTTTAGATAGTCTGTTCTTCCTTTGCTATAAATATGGTAATCGTAAATCATACAGGATGTTCAATATTCTACGCCAAACTTTCTAAAATATAAAATATTTTTTCTTTGTTATTTTAAATGGAACACCCTGTATATTATTTTTTTATTAGATGGAGAGTTAAAAAATGAACATTTTTTGTATTTAGAGTATTTCAAAATATTTAACGGTTTCGCAGATACGCGCAGTATTATTTCATATGGCGCTTTCAATGGTAAAATACGAGAGAAAAATCATTGGGTGGCTTTGATAAAAATTTACTGTGGAAAATGCCATATGAAATATAAACCCGCAAATATCTGCGAAACCGTTAAAAATTTTGAAATACTCTAAATACAAAAATGTTCATTTTTAATTCTCCGTCTATTGAAAATATAATATACAGGGTGTTCCATTTAAAAAAAAACAAAAGAAAGAAAATGATTTTATATTTTAGAAAGTTTTGATGTAAATTTGAACATCCTGTATAATTACTACGATTTTCATATTTATAGCAAAGTAAGTACAGACCATCTAAAGTAAGTACCTAATATAGTTTTGATTTCAAGGCAGAACAGTTCTTATTTTTAATAATTTTTTTAAAGAGGCTGAAAAATATATATTTTTGATTGATTTTTTAATATCTCTGAAACTATCGAAATATATTTATTCATATCTTAGGGTTATCTAAAGTGATCTGAAAGGAAGCCAAAATGCAATAATACACAGGGTGTTCCATTTAAAAAAAATCAGCAAGGCCCACTCACACTTTTTTGAGCCACCCTATAGAAGTTAAAATATTTTCCTGAAATACATCCTGGTACATACTTTAGGTTTGCACTTAAACAAAATACTCAAGTTTTTTATTCTAAGAGCTACAGATGCCCGACGCCCTATTGCCGGACCCTGTATACAACTGTTTAAAGAAAATATACAATTCAATTATATTGTTAATCTTTATCTTCGTAGCAGTTGTTGGTTGCGTCCTTCTTCATCTGCAACAGTTTGAAGACTTTTAAGACTCTCCCTGGGCAGGTGGTATCGAAGGCATTGTTCTTTTTTTTATAAATTGGTCTATGTCGTCTACGTTTATACGCTCTTCTCAAATATCATGTTTTTAATTTTTTTCTTAAAATTTCTATAATTTAATTGTGTTAATTCTTTTGGTAACATATTATATATTGTGGTAGTTTCTGTTGTTAGTTTTTGTGAAAGTTTTTTTGAGTTCTCTTGGCTGTTCTGATGTCTGATTTTCTTCTAGTTTGGTAAGTGTGTATTTGTTTGTTAGTTTTTAGAGAAATATTTCTTTTTATTAATTTATTTTTGATTTTGTGTAGAAGTAATTGTCTTATGTTTAATTCTTTTGGTTTGGTTTGGTTGTTTGAAAAACGAAACGGGTTGTTTTGATTTTTAGATGATACACCCGGTATATTGAAATAAACAAGCTAAACAAAAAATTTCCAAAAGTTATGATTAAAAATACGATTCGGGCATCTTTTAACTAGCCAGGACAAGACACTAAAAATAGGCGATTAAATCTATTTTTTCGAGGCTCAATGACTAAAAATTAGTGGTTTTATCACAGCCAATGCACTCTAGATTGAAATTTAAAATATTATTTTTCTAAGCGAAGATGGCATGGCAAAAGTTGACATATTCTATTCTGAATCCATCAAATCCAATATCTGTAGTACAAACCAATATCTGTCATTTTCTATCAAATAAAATAAAAATATACCGAGTGCACCAAATAAAAATCAAAAGTTGTAGTAATTTGCGGTAAAACATGAAGTAACCGAAACTAATTGAATACGTCAATCAATCCTGATTTATGGCATATACAAACATACCAAATCTCGTTTTTTTATCTGAAAAAATAAAAAAGTTATAGGGGTGAGCCCATAGACTTAAAATAAAATAGGTGAGCCACATTTGAAAAACACACGGTATAATAAAATTTATTTTTACAAAATATAACAATTTCTATTTTAAAAAATATTCAGCGCAATTTCTACCCACCTCCTTTTCCAGTGAGGCCACTTGTTCCGTCAACCGAATATTTTCCCTTCTGCTGTGAATTAAGTCCGCGTCTGCTCTGTCAAGTCTCTGTCTCAAGGACTGAATTTCAGCCTGCAGACGAGTGATTTCCTGCTTGTACTGCCGTTCAGTCCTTTCATTGGACATATTTAATGTTGCGATTTGTTGCTCTAATGCGCTTTTTTCTGCACCAGTTGCACCAATATCGGATTGAAGAGTAACTAGAATTTTTATTATTATTAAGTTGTTTTATTATCATTAGTCTGTAATTTTTTTCAACTGGGAAGACTATACTTGAACGGGTAGACTTACGTATTTTACTTTGCATGTCCTTCTTTAATTCGTCAATAAGAGCCTGCTTTTGAGCACATTCCCTTCTCAAGTCGGTATTTTCTCTTCTTTGTTTATCTAATTCTAATTGTAATTTATTTGTAGTTTCCCACTGGACTCCTACTTCAGCAGTTAATTGTTCAATTTGTTGAGTGTATCTTCTTTCAACCGCAGATCTTTCATCGGATATTCTTCGACTCTAGAACGATATCCTCTTATTAAAACATAGGTAAAGCCAATGGCGGTTAGCCCTTAAGAAAATAAAACTTAAAAAATTCGTTTGAAAAATTCGAGTCATGACTCGTTTTTAAGTCATTAAAATGAATCGTAAGAATTGAATCGGTTCACCCCCCACAATGCAGTCCGTTTAAAGAAAAAAACCGTGCGAATTGATTCATCGCTACAATACCAGTACGTCTAAATGAATCTTGAATCCATAATACCTATAGAACTGTGTATTTTTAAGTAATTAGGTATAAAATAATTGAATTACTATCTAAATTACAACATGCATATCATTAACTGCCAAACGGATAGTATACCGGATGCGTCTCAAATGTGGCTCACTCCTCTATAACTCTTATTTTATCAGATAAAAAAAAACGAGATTTGGTATGTTAGTATATGACATAAATTAGGATTGATTGACGCATTCAATTGTTTTCTGTCACTTCCTATTTCACCGGAAATGACTACAACTTTTGATTTTTAAATGGCACCCTCGGTATTTTTTTACTTTATTCGATAGAAAATGACATTCTTAATAAAATGGCATATCATATATCAACTTTTGACATTTTTTCTTAAAACAAAATTGAATTTTAAATTTCAATCTAGAGTGCCATGGCTGTGTTGTAGTCATTTCCGGTAAAACAGGAAGTGACAGAAAACAATTGAATACGTCAATCAATCCTAATTTGTCATATATTAATATACCAAATTTCGATTTTTTATCTGCGAAAATAAAAAAGTTATAGAGGTGAGCCACTTTCGAGACGCACCCGGTATACTTATAGACTTGGTGCATTCTCCGTCGATGCTGCCACCATCAGGGAATACCGTAAACAGCCGGAATTTTAAAACATCGGTTGAAATGCACCAAGCCTAAACTATGTATTGTGTTCCGACATAATAGATAATTAAGGAGAATTAAAGAATAAGAGCTTGGTACCCAAACATGTACACGTATTATAGTAAATAGCAATAATAAAATAAAATAATTAAAGAAATTTATGAGTTTCGGGAGTGTTCCTAGTGGTGTTTTAGAAATCCATTTATTGATCTTCTATAGTCAAATCCTTATACATACTTGATCAGCTATAGCATCTCTCAGTTTCATATGCTGCCTTTCCAATTCGTCTTTTAATCGTCTTATTTCAATTTCAGCTGCACTTTTTTCGTATTGTGCTTGTTCCGCTACATCTAAGCTTCTCTTTACCTGATCGCACGTATCATTCTCTTTATCACGAAGCTTAGACAATGCCAATTGCAGAGTTTTAATTTTATCAAGCAGCTCTTGTTTTTCCCTGTATATAATATACATTATAAAATAATATATTGAAACATACTAGTCTAAAATATACCTGTTGCACCCGTCCAACTGTTTGCTTAAATTTTCGTAAGTACTCCCTTCGAAAAAAGAACCGTCTGATAATTTTCTTCTAAGCGCTTCGTTATCTTCTTGAGATTTTTTCAAATCAATTCTTGCCTGTGTTAATTGAGCTTCTAATTCAGATATCCTGGATTCAAATACAATAGCTGGACCGTCTATGATTCTAGTTTTTCTGGATTTTTTTGGTGATTTTGATGTCTAAAATAAGAGTTATATAATATAACTATCTTCATATTAATTCTTGCTTACGTTTTTATCGGTAAGATCAATCTCAGTTTCTGTTTCTGTCTCAGTTTCCAAATGATCAAAAACAGATTTGATCAGTTTTGATTTTTGCTTCTCGTGCAGATGTTCGTTTTCACTGATAACTTCTTTTACTTTTGATAACAGCGACGATAGTTCATCCTAAACGTGTTAATAATTATCGAGGGTGGCCCGAACTGTATTCCGGAAACTTCAGCAGCATATTCTGCAGATAAAAATAAGTAAAAAAGTTCGTATAAATGTATGTCCTAAAATGCTTAGTTTCGGAGATACAGGGTGTAGAAGTTTAATTTTTATTTCGATTTTTTCCAAATAATTTCTGAAGTAACGTCAATATTTGGATGAAAATTGGTGTCTGGGAGTTTTTCGACATGAGAAATTTGATTTTGATGTCAATATGACTCCTACTTGTAGAGGGCGCACCTACAAGTGTTTTAACTGTTTTGAAGTGTAATAACTTTTCGTCCGTACCTGTACAAAACAATGGAGTGAAAACATATAGGTACATTTCTATGACTTTTTACGTAAAAAATATCTCTTGGTAAAAATCGCTATAAGTAACCGTTCTCAAGATATTTAGAATGAAAATAGTCAATACACGTCATTATTGACACAAAAATAAACACGTTGAGTAGATAGTTACTTAACTGAAATAATAAATTTGGGAAATTTTAATTTTTTTAAATTAATCATAAACTTTATGCGAAAAAATGATGATAAAACAGTTTTTGTTGAGCTTTTGGCACAAAACCATTTCAAATGTAGGATTTTAGTCTAATAACTATTTAGTCAACATATGTTTAATTTATGTCAATGATGATAGGTGTTGATAATTTCGATTCCAAATATCTCGAGAACCATTACTCGTAGCGATTTTTACCAAGAGACATTTTTTACGTAAAAAACTTCGTAAAAGTATATTTTTTTACTCAGTAGTTTTTTACAGGTACGGACGAAAAGTTTTTACTCTTCAAACCAGTTAAAAAATATGTAGGTGGCGCCCTCTACAGGTAGGAGTCATATTGACATGAAAATAAAATTTTTCATATCAAAAAACTCCCAGGCACCAATTTTCATCCAAATATTGACGTTACTTCATAAATTAATTGGAAAAAATCGAAATAAAAATGAAACTTCTACACCCTGTATTTCCGAAACTAAGCATTTTAGAACATACATTTATAAGAACTTTTTACTTATTTTTATCTGCAAAATTTGCTGCCGAAGTTTCCGGAATACAGTTTGGACCACCCTGTATACTATTATAAAAACTAAAATTTAATATTGTCAATACTTACTTTACAAAATCTTGACTCTTTTTCTAGCTGCTCTATATAATCCTCCTGACGCTCTATAAAAGACATTAGCTCCGGTGGAGCTGTCGCAGTGTTCTCAAATTTAACTGTTTCACTAAAAAGATAATTTCATAAAGTACTAGCAAACTCAAATGGGTCAATTTACTAGGTACTAGCGTACCATTTGACTACTCCTAATACTCTATACGGCAAATTCGTTCAGTATTTTGCAGTTTGATGTATACAGGGTGGTCCGAACAGTATTCCGGAAACTTCGGCAGCATATTCTACAGATCAAAATAAGTAAAAAAGTTCGTAAAAATATATGTCCTAAAATGCTTAGTTTCGGAGATACAGGGTGTAGAAGTTTCAATTTTATTTCGATTTTTTCCAAATAATTTCTGAAGTAACGTCAATATTTGGATGAAAATTGGTATTTGGGAGTTTGGTGACACGAGAAATTTGATTTTGGTGTTAAAATTACTCCTATTTGTAGGGGGCGCCACCTACATGTGTTTTAACTATTTTGAAGAGTAATAACTTTTCGACCGTACCTGTATAAAACCACTGACTAAAAAAATATACATTTCCATGACTTTTTATGTAAAAAATGCCTCTTGGTAAAAATCGCTACGAGCAACTGTTCTCAAAATGTTTAGAATGGAAATAGTCAATACATGTCATTATTGACAAAAAATAAGCACACGTAGATTATAGTTATTTGACTGAAATAATAAATTTTTATTTTTTTAAATTAATCATAAGTTTTCCTGCGAAAAAATGATGATTAAACAGTTTCTTTTGAACTCTTAACACAAAAAGATTTCAAATTTATGATTGCAGTCTAATAACTATTTAGTCAACATGTGTAATTTATGTCAATGATGACAGGTATTGATAATTTCGATTCCAAATATCTCGAGAACCATTAATCGTAGCGATTTTTACCAAGAGACCTTTTTTATGTAAAAAAAGTCGTAAATGTATATTTTTTTACTCAGTAGTTTTATACCGGTACCTGTATTTTCATATCATTGAATTTTCATATCATTCATATCATTGAAATACCTGTATTTTCATCATTCAGTCAAATAACTATCTACTCTACATGTTTATTTTTTATCAATAATGACATGTATTGACTATTTCCATTCTATATATCTTGAGAACGGTTACTCGTAGCGATTTTTACAAAGAGACATTTTTTTACGTAAAAAAACACGGAAATGTATATTTTCCACTCAGTAGTTTTATACAGGTACGGACAAAAAGTTATTATTCTTCAAAACAGTTAAAACACATGTAAGTGGCGCCACCTACAAATGGAAGTCATATTGACATCAAAATCAAATTTCTCATATCAAAAAACACCCATCTACCAATTTTCATCTAAATATTGACGTTACTTCAGAAATTATTTGGAAAAAATCGAAATAAAAATGAAACTTCTACACCCTGTATCTCCGAAACTAAGCATTTTAGGACATACATTTATACGAACTTTTCTACTTATTTTTATCTGCAGAATATGCTGCCGAAGTTTCGAACCACCCTGTATACAGGGTGGTCCGAACTGTATTCCGGAAACTTCGGCAGCATATTCTGCAGACAAAAATAAGCAAAAAAGTTCGTATAAGTGTATGTCCTAAAGTGCTTAGTTTCAGAGATACAGGGTGTAGAAGTTTCATTTTTATTTTGATTTTTTCAAAATAATTTCTGAAGCAACGTCAATATTTGGATGAAAATTGGTGTCTAGGAGTTTTTTGACATGAGAAACTTGATTTTGATGTCAATATGACTCCTACTGGTAGAGGGCGCCGCCTACATCTGTTTAACTGTTTTGAAGAGTAATAACTTTTTGTTCGTACCTGTATAAAACTACAGAGGAAAAATATACATTTCTGCGACTTTTTACGTAAAAAATATCTCTTTGTAAAAATCGCTACGAGCAACCGTTCTCAAGATATTTAGAATGGAAATAGTCAATACATGTCATTATTGACGAAACATAAACACGTTGAGTAGATAGTTATTTCACTGAAATAATAAATTTGGGAAATTTTAATTTTTTTTAAGTTAATCACAAATTTTCCTGCAAAAAAATGATGATAAAACAGTTTCTGTTGAACTTTTGGCACAAAAACTTTCAAATTTATGATCTCGGTCTAATAACTATTTAGTCAACATGTTTAATTTATGGCAATGATGACGGGTATTGATAATTCCGATTCCAAATATCTCGAAAACCAATACTCGTAGCGATTTTTACCAAGAAACATTTTTTACGTAAAAAACGTCGTAAATGTATATTTTTTACTTACTAGCTTTATACAGGTACGGACGAAAAGTTATTACTCTTCAAACAGTTGAAAAATATGTAGGTGGCGCCCTCTACCAGTAGGAGTCATATTGACATCAAAATCAAATTTCTCATGTCAAAAAACTCCCAGACACGAATTTTCATCCAAATATTGACGTTACTGCAGAAATTATTTGGAAAAAATCGAAATAAAAATGAAAATTCTACACCCTGTATATCTGAAACTAAGCATTTTAGGACATACATTTATACAAACTTTTTTACTTATATTTTGATCTGCAGAATATGTTGCCGAAGTTTCCGGAATACATTTCGGACCACCCTGTATAATAATACCAGAGTTATTATGAAAAAAAAACTTTTTCAGAAGCAACATTAGCATTTTTAGAAAATTTTACCATGCTGTATCTTAAAAGTTATGATAACATATATTTATATGAATGGTTTTCTTAAATTGAAAGGTTTACTTCCTTAAGGAACATCCCGTATATTTGTATATACCTCGTAGAAACAGATATAAAAATTAGATATAGTTAAACCCTTGTTCGTATATTAAGTGCTTAATTATGCCGAATACTGTGACATTAAGAAATTAGTCTCAATTAGAAGTAAAAATTTATATTATTTATTATTCAATTTTACTTACGGTGGAGGATTCTTTTCCACATTTTCTGTATGCAAGGTGTTGATATTACTTTTTAATGGAGGATAATAGTACTTTCTAGGAATAACTGGTGCATAATTGTAGTTGTAATATGGCCTTCCTATTCTAGAAGTTCTACTGCCTCCGCTGATCATGGATTGATTATCTGTTTCCTCTCCAGCACTGTCTAATTCTCTAAGTGGTCTTGGATTGTATACTCGGCTTTAAAAAAAATCAAAATAAAACTACTGTTATATTTAGTATATAAAATATATTATAAATATATAATGTTTATTCTATATAACATTCTATAAAAAATAAGCTTAAAATTGTTATTAAAAAGAAATACCTTCTAATTGGTGTGTAACTCTCAGCTAGAAGAATTCTTAAACGACCTACAGCTTCACGATAGGCGGTATCGGCATAATCGGGCTTTCTTCTAAAATCCATTTTGGGAATAACGGATTTTCTGTAAAAAAAGAAAATACCTCTCTTAATGCCGTTAAATAGAAAGTAATGTAGGATGTTATTAATAATGATAACCTATTAACTCTTGTAAGTTCTATGTTTTCCTAGAAAGACCAATATTTAAGTACATACTATACAGGGTGGTTCGAACTGTATTCCGGAAACTTCGGCAGCATATTCTGCAGATAAAAATAAGTAAAAAAGTTCGTATAAATGTATGTCCTAAAATGCTTAATTTCGGAGATACAGGGTGTAGAAGTTTCATTTTTATTTTGATTTTTTTCCAAATAATTTCTGAAGTAACCTCAATATTCGGATGAAAATTGGTGTCGGAGTTTTTTGACATGAGAAATTTGATTTTGATGCCAATATGCGACTCCTACTTGTAAAGGGCGCCACCTACATAGTTTTTAACTGGTTTGAAAAGTAATAACTTTTCATCACTACCTGTATAAAACTACTGAGTACTTTTACGACGTTTTTTTTATGTAAAAAAGGTCTCTTGGTAAAAATCGCTACGAGTAATGGTTTCCGAGATATTTGGAATCGAAATTATTAATACCTGTCATGATTGACGTAAATTAAACATATATTTACTAAATAGTTATTAGACTGAAATCATAAATTTGAAATGTTTTAGTGAAAAGTTCAACAGAAACTGTTTTATCGTCATCTTTTTCGACAAAAAAAATATGATTTATTTAAAAAAAATAAAAAGTTCCCAAATTTATCATTTCAGTCAAATAACTATCTACTCTACATGTTTATTTTTTATCAATAATGACATGTATTGACTATTTCCATTCTATATATCTTGAGAACGGTTACTCGTAGCGATTTTTACAATGAGACATTTTTTTACGTAAAAAAACACGGAAATGTATGTTTTTTCACTCAGTAGTTTTATACAGGTACGGACAAAAAGTTATTAATCTTCAAAACAGTTAAAACACATGTAGGTGGCACCCCCTACAAATAAGAGTCATATTGACATCAAAATCGAATTTCTCATTTTAAGAAACTCCTAGACGCCTATTTTCACCCAAATATTGACGTTACTTCAGAAATTATTTGGAAAAAATCGAAATAAAAATGAAAATTCTACAACCTGTATCTCCGAAACTAAGCATATTAGGACATACATTTATACGAACTTTTTTATTTTACTTAATTTTATCTGAAAAATATGCTACCGAAGTTTTCGGAATACAGTTCGGACCAGCCTGTATAACTACAGTATGTCTAACGAGACAGTAAAGATTTCGACAGACGAAATACACAAATGTACAAAAATACGATTTACCTGTGAATTAAAATGATCAAGTTTAAAAGAGAATTTTGCTATTGATCGTGTTATCTTAATAAACTACATGGAAAATTAACTTGTGCCGATTTTAGATAACATGCTGTCAATCAGTGTTATTGATGTTTTTGTACACTTGTCCAATAACTTCATATACAGAAACTAACGTGGAATAGCCAATAACCAAAATTTTGCGTGCAATAAATTATATTAATTATCCTATTTAAAAAGAAACATAAGTTTGGGTCATATTTCAAGAACAACAGCTTCCAACAAAAAACTAGTTACGCCACTGGATTCTGCGTCAAACGGGGGACACAGTTTTCATCTTTTTGATAAGTTATAAGATAACCGATATACGAGGAGAGTCGAAAAATGCAACAATTTAAAATTCACCCTGTATTTCAGGAACTAAGAGGGCTAGGACAAATCTGCCTGTAGCATCTTTAGTTTCATAAAAAAAGTAACACAGTGACACAGACAGTGATAAAAACCGCATCTTTGTAAGTGTACTCATAAACGAGAAATCCTATAGAACTCACTAAAATGGGATACCCTGTACGGGGTGGACCATTTTGGTTGTTTCTATAGGGTATCTAGGAAACCGTGAGAAAAATTCAAATTTTGATACTGCAGTCTCGGGTTCTTTTTTTGAAAAAATTACAATGGCGCAAACGGATCGTGGCTATCTTGATCTGTTTCGAAGCTACAGGGGGATTCTCAAATTTTGTACTTTTTGAAGATGTTCGATAGTTTGTTTATTTCAGCAACCACGGAAAAATGAATTATACATTCTAAAGGCACTTTTCTGTGTAGAATGCAGTGGCGTAGTCAGACTTTTTTTGAAAAAAATATTTTTTGAGATATTAACTATACTTATGTTTTTTTAAATAGAACCCCCTGTATATTTTTAAAGTTTCTTGTTCCAGCTTGGCATGGGCTTCTCGAAAATATATAACACTCTATATTTATTTTCACTATTAACCTCAACATTTCAAATTTTTCTTAAAATATCCACCTAGTAGATAGTAGGCCGTGTCGAGTAACAAAGTAAATGGTTGTCATGGTGATCGGAACATACCTTTGATGGATGCGGGACATTTCATTTCAACAGATTGAAGTGTGTGTATTTTAAATAATAAAAAAATGAGTAAATTTGAAAATTTTGAGAAATATAATATGTTAGAATGTTATATTGAGTCTAGCAAACATATGCAAATGGCAGCTGATTTATATTTTGAGCGATATCCAGAGCGCGAGCAACCAAACCCAGCCATTATTAAAAGGTTAGAAAATAGTTTAATCAATTTTGGATCTTTTCAAAAACCGCGTCCGAAAAATTATCAGAAAGAAGATCAATATATTAATGTCCTCGGAGCCGAATACATGAATTAGCAATTAAATAAAATCGAACAATACGAAGCAAATAAAAAATAAGTGTGACAGAAACAAAAGAACATATTTTAATATAAACTCAAGAGGTTACTTCAATCGGGCTTCTCAGTTAATATAAAAAAAAATAAAAACACAAAGACTACATTAAATGTTCAGACTGCTGCCCATTATTATCTAGACAGAGTTGGTACGTCTCCGCACGCCGCGCCGCTAACAGCATTTCAATATTTCAATAGCTGTACTTGATGTTGTTGGATCTAGTGTTACGGCTCCGAGGACATTAATATATTGATTTTCTTCATCTCCTTTTTGATAATTTTGCGGACGCGGTTTTTGAAAAGATCCAAAATTGATTAAACTATATTCTAACCTTTTAAAAATGGCTGGGTTTGGTTACTCGCGCTCTACATACCGCTCAAAATATAAATCAGCTGCCATTTGCTTATGTTTGTTAGACTCAATATAACATTTTAACATATATTTCTCAAAATTTTCAAATTTACTAATTTTTTTATTATTTAAAATACACACACTTCAATCTGTTGAAATGAAATGTCCCGCATTCATCAAAGGTATGTTCCGATCACCATGCCAACCGTTTACTTTGTTACTCGGCGTGGCCTACTATCTACTAAGTGGATATTTTAAGAAAAAATTGAAATGTTGAGGTTAATAGTGAAAATAAATATAGAGTGTTATATATTTTCGAAAAGCCCATGCCAAGCTGAATAAGAAAATTTAAAAATATACAGGGGTTCTATTTAAAAAAACATAAGTATAGTTAATATCTCAAAAAATATTTCTTTCGAAAAAAGTCTGACTGCGCCACTACATTCTACACAGAAAAGTGCCTTTAGAATGTATAATTCATTTTTCCATGGTTGCTGAAATAAACAAACTATCGAACATCTTCAAAAAGTACAAAATTTGAGAATCCCCCTGTAGCTTCGAAACAGATCAAGATAGCCACAATCCCTTTGCGCCATTGTAATTTTTTCAAAAAAAGAACCCGACACTGCAGTATCGAAATTTGAATATTTTTCACGGTTTCTTAGATACCCTATAGAAACAACCAAAATGGTCCACCCTGTACATTGGGAGTTTAGCAGAACTAAAATATTTAGATTGCAGATTTTTTCGGCAATAGTGCGTCAGGTATCTGTAGCTCCTAGAATAAAAAACTTGGGAATTTTGTTTAAGTGCAAACCTAAGATATGTACGAGGATGTATTTCAGGAAATTATTTCAGGTTTTATAACTTCTATAGGGTGGCTCAAAAATGTGTGAGTGGATCGAGGATTTTTTTTAATTGAACACCCTGTATATTATTACATTTTTGGCTTCTTTTCGGATTACTTTGCGTAATCCTAAAGTATGAGTAAATATGTTTCGATAGTTTTAGAGATATTAATGTATAAATAAAAAATATATATTTTTCAAACTTTCTTTAAAAAATTATTAAAAACACAAGAACTGTCCTGAAATCAAAACTATATTAGGTATTTACTTTAGATGGTCTGTACTTACTTTGCTATAAATATCGTAATCTTAAATCATACAGGATGCTCAAAATTCTACGCCAAACTTTCTAAAATATAAAATATTTTTTCTTAGTTTTTTTTTAAATGGAACATCCTGTATATTATGTTTTCAATAGATGGAGAATTTAATAATTATTAGAACATTTTTTGTATTTAGAGTATTTCAAAAGTTTTAACAGTTTCTCTGATATTCGCAGTTTTATATTTCATATGGCATTTTCCACAGTACATTTTTATCAAAGCCACCCAATTATTTTTCTCTGGAATTTTACCGTTGAAAGGGCCATATGAAATAATACTGCGAGTATCTGCAATACCGTTAAAATTTTGAAATACTTTAAATACAAAAAATGATAATTTGTTTATCCTCCAGTTAATAAAAAAATAATATACAGGGTACATATGTATATAATATACATATTTTCGAAAGTTTGGTATAGAATTTTGAACGCTCTGTATGATTTAAGATTACGATATTTATAGCAAAGTATGTGCAGACCATCTAAAGTAAATATATAATATAGCTTTGATTTCAGGACAAGTTCTTGTATTTTTAATATTTTTTTAAGAAAGGCTGAAAAATATAAATCTTTTAATTTTTTATTAATATCTGTAAAACTATCGAAATATATTTACTCATATTTTAGGATTGTGTAAAGTCACCTGAAAGGAAGCCAAAAATGCAATAACAAACAAAGTCTTCCAAAAAAAATCATCCCGATCCACTCACACTTTTTTGAGCCACCCTGTATAAGTTAAAATA